TACACCATTCAGGTCCGACACGGTCCTGCAGGAAACCACAGCAGCTGTCGGGGAGTAGCGCCTAATGTATTCCCAGGGTTATCTGGGAAGCCTGCAAGCCTATAGGAGACTTTATGGCTGCCGTATGTAGCACTGTGCACTGTGCGTGTAAGAGAGGTGGGGGAAGGGTACATCCAGCCAGCAATCCAGCCAGCCCATCCTGGCTTCAGATTACATTTTGTTTCCTTAGGCACCAGAAAACAAACCACTAACACTCTGAGTATCCAGTTACTGCGCTGCCACATAACCTGTCCGTCACATAGCAATACTGCAGCTTACTGTGCAAATATCAACTGAATAAATACAGACTCCTCATGACACCATTGACTACTTTTAGCTGCTCTTCCCTGATTGTACTGAAATGTTTAATTACAGCTAGTTTTAAATGAAAGCAGACCACAGAAACATGGGAGTTTCTGTGCTACCTGTAGACTTCAGCACAAAGACATGCTGCACTGTGAAAAATGGTAAACATAAATATTAAAACACACCTGAAGCATACTCAGAGAGTCCCTAAACGTATTGAGTCAATCCATTATATATGTAGAGCTTTTAAAGTCTCTGGATTGTGTTGGTAGTCTACACAATGCTGTTATTGACGACCCAAAACACACTCAAACATAGCTTAGAAAGGTGTGTGTGAGCTGCTAGAACTGCCGCACTGCAACAACCATGCATGGATTCTCTATGTGGAAGGTTCTCCCCCGTCACAGCTTGTCATTTTCTGCTGATTAGCCACACAGAGGTGAACCTCAGCCCACAGACCTAAAAACAAACCAGCGGCACGGCTACTGTACACACACTAACACACACACGGTGGACTGTAATGGAAAACAAAGGCTCCTATAGGCAATGACCTGGCGGCCCCGCTCTTTCCATTCATTGTGATTCCAGAGGAGTGGGGCAGTTTAATGCCTAATGTGCCAGAGTAGGGTGCTGCTGCTGAGCTTTTCCTTTTTCTTTCAGCGGGAGTCACTGTTCCTCAAGCTCCACCAAAAACCAAGTGTCCAAACGGCTGTTATTATGGGTCACTACTAAGGAGTTCACAGTGCCACTAATGGAGTACTGTATTTGAATAGTTTCCTGAACTTCTTTTAATGACAGGATCCAAAAGAAAAAGGGTTCTTCTTCCGGAAGAGCAGGACTATCATGAAGTATATCAAGTAGGAACAAACAGTACGACACCAAATGTTTTGTGAGCAAACAACTGCATTGCTGCTATCATTATTAGTGATACCATTCAGTTCAGATATAGGCTCAGTAAACAAAACTCCTACCCTGTACACATGCTATTTGGTCAATATCTTTGATAAGCAGCGTCAAGATTAAAAAACAAGAACCAGGACAGAGCCTGAACCCCCACTGTTGCGTTATATCAAATCCATGAAATGGTATTCATGATTTGGTCATCAGCGCATTGTTTAATAAGGACTAATGGTTAGACGATGTATGAACTGAAGCTGTGCATTCATGACCAAAAATACATTAAAATAGGAACAAGCCGTTAGGAAAGCCACAGTTATTACCAAGGTGGCTATGTGTTAACATACACTACATCGTTATAACTGCCATCATAAAGTCTATCCTATACACAGAATTGGCAAAGAAATTAATAAAAAAATGCATCCGTAGTTCTAATATTGGACCTATTTTCTTGTCCTTCTGTTAATTGTTGAGCCCACGTCAACACTAAGCCAGTCAAACTGGACAAGTCTACTGCTCCCCCAACCACAAATACTCCATTGAATATCTTGAATTATCTGACTTCTCAATAGAAATAATAAAACTATCTTACAATGCACATATCATAGCTTTATACCTACTGATAAAGTTGTAAAGAAGTGTCATCGTAAATCATATTAAAGCGGGGGGGCATCTAATGATTGTTTTCATTAAAGATTCACCTAATTTTCTCAATGAACGGATTCATTCATTATTTGGTTCATAAGATGTCCTAAAATGCTTTTCACTATTTCAAAGTGCCTAATGGCGCATTTCCACTACAGCGCGGAGCTCGCTTTAAGCGTGCTGAGCCGTGCGGGGCCCGTTTTTGGTTGCGTTTCCACTTGGCGTAGTACCGGCTAGCGGGTACTATTTCACAGTTTTTCTGGCCTCATAAAATCGTGGTTCTAGGGCCAGGAACAACCAGGCTGAGTCGGGCTGAGTATGCTAAACTAGAGAGAGAATCGCTGGCAAGGGGGCTACAACTACAACAAGATGGACATATTTGACCGTGATTTAATTGTAATACACGTTTCAAAATGATGCCGAAGTAACAACATACTGATACCGGTTAGTAAAAACCATGAATTAATGCTTTGACAAGTCTGCAGACAGACAGCAGGCAAAAAACCTTTTAAAATGCGTGTTTTCTAAATGGAGATCGGCTAAGCTAACGCAGTATATGCTCCGACCGTCCACACTCACAACAACGGCCTATACAGACATAAATAAACCAGCGACTGTACTCGCCATGACACAGACAGTCTGTGGTTTGTACTTGTTTAACTTTTGTCTAGTTTCTGAACAGATAAGAGGAGCTGTGAGCTTGAGTGCTAACAGCTAACGGCTGTGTTGTTTTTCTGGGGTTCTCATTGAAGATGACGTCACGGCTCCGCCTACACTGCGTTACTATAGATACTACCCCAGTTCCTAAACTGTAATGGAAATGCGCCATAAAGTCAGCCAGTCCTAAAAAGGCCTAACGAGGCCTAGCCATACCGAGCGAGGCCGAGCGCGGCCGTGTAGTGGAAATGCGCCATTAGATGCCAACAACTGTCCAAATGGCTCAAAACAATGAGTTCACTTTAATTGTAGACAAGCAAATGCAGTGACTGTGTAAAGTTAGAACCATGAAATCACCATTATAACATGACAATCCAGGAACAATAATAAATGACAGTTTTCAGCTCTATTTTTTATTATTTAGCCTAGCTATTTGAGAAGAGTTTGGTGAGCTGATTGTGTTAAACAAAGAAATTAAATGTTATTCGTGTAACCAGTGATACCCTTTCACCAAACAGATTTGAGTTTTTTGATGGCTAGTGATCTCAGACTTATATCTATATGAATTTATATTCATATGTATTGAATCATGAACTTGAAATGGCAGTGCAGTTTTTGACAATATAGCCTACAGTAAAGCTATGAACCAGAAGCCTTAGTGACCACATACACTTGACAAAGGCCTGACAGCCTGGCTTGACACACTTCTTCTAATCTAATCTCCAATCCTTCTCCACTGTATTCACTCGGCTAGTTAAGCCCCTTGCTAATGAGACTGTGCCCCATTGTATGGAATTAAACCAGAACACTACTCACTGCCTAAACCACATCACACACAAGGACCAATTCTACAAGGGAATTAGAAAGCTGGGAGCATGATTGTTGTGCGATATTTAAAAAAGTACATGCAATATGCTGCGTAGATGAGGGAGCATGCAATTTCACATTAGAGCAGTGTTCAGCTCTGACAGTGTGTTCGATTCATAGAATTACATCACGTCTGTGACAAATAAAAAGACAACTTGATCTAATGTGATACTTGCTATTTATCCACGGTCTGCATCACTTAAAGACTACCATTAGTAGTCAATGCATGTCAAACTGACATGTTTTCAAATGCATATGCAGGCAAGAGAACTGAACTAGCACCTATGGCTCGGATTTAAATGGCACCCTATCAGAGACCAATGATCATTAGATGATATTCATTTATAAACGTAGTAATATCTGAGGACTTGCCATCTATACGTTTGATACAATTAATTCACCCAGAAATCACACTAATGATCAAATCCGAGCAGTTGTGGGGTTTGGCCAGTGATCTGCAGATAGAAGCATTGTGTGAACAAAAGAAAGCAGGGAGCAGGCTCACTGTACAGGGACACAGGACTGAGGATGTGCCAGCCAGGGCTTGTCAGGGCAAATATTTCATTGTTTGCTGGTTTTGGCATGTTATAAAAATAGCACCTTTTGAATGACACTTGACTTAATTAGCTTAAGAAGGCAATCATTACACCTCAAGCAGGAACATTGCCTTCTCCTTAAAGCTCTACAAGTGACAGCATGGTAATGTTTTCAAATTGCAGACAATATTTGACAAGAACACAAACTTCTCAGTGTTTAGCATACATAAAGCCAGTTTTATGTTTTTACAAGTCCCAGCATTCCTGTCTGTCTGTCCGAGTCGCAGGGGTTGTTGTCCGCCAGAAAACCAGGGCAGACGAAGCTCTACGGTCGATTATCACGCTCAAATAAAGGGGATTGTGACCAATAACCACGAGATAACAGGGATTAACTCGACGTGAATGCTGTAACGCGAGGTAAATCTAAAGAGAGCTAACCATACCTCCGTCAGCTGATTTGCAGTATACAGCAGATTATAGCATTTAAGGCTCAAATTCCTACACATGTTGTACAAACGCAGCAGCTATCAAGAGGACAGCCTGATAGAAGACCGAACACCAGCGGTTACTCGATGACAAATTCATTAGTTTGATATTAACAATTTACAATAACGTTATACCTTCGACACAATGCATGGAACTCATTGCGCTGGTTAACCATTCTGAGCACTGACTGAATATGAAGGCATGACGCTTGTCAGCCACAGTACATGGTGTAATAGTAAAACTAGTCTGAAGATTTTGATGTAAATAAGCAGTATGTTGACCAGATGTAGCTGTTTAATTTCCCTAACCCCCTACTGGTAGTCTGCCTTCTATTAACGTGCAAGCTAAGTGGTCGAAACACTAGTCAAACTTATAAAAGAACAATGACAAATATTTGAGCGAAACAGTGAATTACCAGCCATAATAACTCAGAGAAAGCCACACAATAATTTCCGCTCCGCAAGCCTACACCAGTGCCTCGCTGGCTGCCCACCAACCACAGAGATTTTCCCATTTGCTTTGCATGTAACAGACCGAAAAAGAGGACAAAGTCAGCGTTTCCCTTACCGTCAGGTCCAGACTGTCGTTGTCACGGTGGTTAACGGCTCGTATGACACCGGACCTCCACGGCCACCGACCTGTGTCGCCGATTTCAGGCGGCTCTTCCCCGCTGACACAGAGGAACCGCTTCCCGACCAGCTCCGGCCGAGCCTCGACTGCCATGGCCCCTTTGCTGGTCAAAACCCCCCCTCGAAAAAACTTCCCAACAACGACGCCCTTACCGACCTGTCATTTACGACATTAACCCAGTTCTAAAGACTCCAACGATAGAAAGAAAATTAAAAAAAGAAACGTTGTTTGTTGCTGAATAACCGACCCGGGGGATTTAAATGTGTAGCAGTCTCCACCCGCTCGAGCGTCAGTCTCTTTTCTCTCAGCGTGAAAAAACGGTGGAACACTGAACCGCATCACCGCCGCTATCCATACGTGTGTATCTCCGCTGGATCCCAAGGCTTTCACTGGCCGCAGCACGATTGTGTCCCTCCGCTCAGTTGAAAAGAAGGGCACTATGATGGTGAAAATACTTGTATGTGCGCTCATAGCAACTGCCACGACTACTGCTGACACCAAGAGTTTTTAGACAACTGCTTCTATTACAACTGTTGTAACACGTCTACTATAGTACGTTGTAGTTTTACAGCTGGTATTACGGTGGTAAACAAAACAAAAAAAGCTGTGATATAGCCTTAATAATAGGCTTGGAAGAAATGTAGGGAATGTTGATGTTTAAAATAGATATCAATTAAATATCTACTTATAAAATGTAAGTGTAAATGTATTTTTATATATTATATATATAACAGCATTACATTTTATAATATATACTTTAAAGAAGATATTTAATTTGATTTTTTAATTAGTGCTTGTTTGAAATCTGTTTTATCTTCCTTTTATTTATTTCATTTTCCATTTTGTTCAGATGCAGCTTTATGTTTCAGTCACTTATGATGGCAACGTGTGACAAAGGTTCTCTGCATTTGTATCCTGTGTACACAGGGCACCACTTATGCAAAAGAGGTTTAACAACCTCATTGAACCACCTTGTGCAAATAACCGTTGCATGAATGAAATTAATGAACAGCTAAAATGTAAGGAAGTGGGGAAGTAAATATAGCTCAAATATAAACATTTAATTAAAAATGGTGGAAATAGTGTTTAAAGTACCACGTTTATGTTTTTCTATTAACAACAAATCACACTGTGTAAGGCCTCCGTTGTTTTCCATTATTTGCTGTTTGAACATTACAACAGGCTTGAAACTCTGCTTAAGCCATTACATCAGATGTTTTAAGGTAAAGCATTGTACATGTTTCAAACATTCTGCATGTATCTGCTTTAGCTATTAAATACATCGTCAGATTAAACAACTATAGCAATTGCAATATTGAAATAAATACAAACAAATGGCCGACTCCAACTGAAGAAGGAAAACACATCTGAATACAAAATGTGTTATTATTACAGTATTTGTAACAACAATTAGCAAACACACTACGATATTCCCTTTAAAATTACAACAGATTTCTAAAACCATCAAGCCACCATAAGAGCACAAGGGCTGTCGTCATAATGTTCATATGTAACGGCTGATAAGGGTGACTGCTCATAGAGCACTGCTTTCAAAATGAGAGATCAATCTTCTCCTGCAGCGTGTGAAATCTCAGGAAACTGCTTTATATCTGCTTCTTCCTAATCTCCTGTTTTATAGAACATGTCTGTTCCTCTGCTGCTCATTTTATGAGATTCTTTAAGGGTCTTTTCTTAACCCTGTAACTGTTGTTTCCTGTCAGCTAGATCATTCAGAACCATGGTGACTCCCAAGGGATGCATAAGACCATCAGTTTGATGTCCTTTTTGATGTCAGTAACTCCAGCTGTCTAGATAATCAATTTGGCTGTCTAAATTATATCAAACTTTCTAAAAATGTAATGCATAGAAATTAGACGTCTTGTTTTGACAAATTCTTGGTTCCATACAATTATTAAGCAGATTGTTATATTTCTATTTGAAGCAGATCTGTTTTGAATGTAGTACAGGGATGTGATGTAAAGTTTATTGTATTATTCTCTGTTAACACAATCATTATTATCTGCTGCTTATATTTGTATTTTACACCTCATTTAACTTATGTAAAAGCAACTGACGTGTTTGGTCTCTTTGTTTCTCAGTGGATTTACCAGTTTACCAGTTTCCATTGTCTTGCCTCCGACAGAGAAGTGGTGAAGGAGAGAATAAGGCAGAACAACAGAAGGAGAACAAGAGATGGAAGGATTGTGTGTGTCTTCTCTGTGCAAGTGGCTTTATGGACGATTGCCTGCATGTGTTCTTTTGATGTGTGTGCAGAGTGTAGGGATCTTAAGGACAGACAGTGTAGAGGTTTGGGTGAGAAGTATGAGAATCACACAGACTGAAGCAATTTCCAGGGTGGGATGCAAAATAAAAAGAGAAAGATGGAATGATGTTGGGAAAAAGAAATGCTAAATGCTCATGAGACAACATTTTGTTCATGTATTGTTATGTGCTTTCTGTTGTTGTTTGTTGTGCTCTGTCAAAATTCCCCTATCGGGAAATTAAGAATGACTTGAACTGCACCTGAGAGAAGCAGGAAAAAGCACCGAGCATAGCAGAGGAGGGTCATAGTGGTGGAGTAAGACATTTAACAGCTGACAGGAATATTAACATATTGTGTCATGTCAAATACATATTACATGAATGCATGCCTTTAAGATGCAACAATGTTATTCCACATACAACATGGTTTTTAACTCATAGATGAATATATTGCTTCAGTATGATTCATTTGCATTTTGTCCATTTCTAACTAGATTTTTCAGCTGTGTGTAAAACAGTGCTGTGAGGTTAGCATTGGAGCCGCTGAATGCCTGGTGTGAAGGTGTTTTGTGTTCAGCTGTGATCCTGATGCTCACGATGGCCCAGACAGGCAGTGTGACCATGAGGCTCCTCTGGGATCTCCCTCACTGCTGCACACTGCAGCAGCCGCCCCCATGAATATCAAGTAGCCACGAACGAAACCTGCCTCCTCCCCCATGCACCCGCATCATATGTACACAGACCATGTGCATATCAGCATGTGGTCACTAACATGCACATCTGCATAAATAGAAAGTCACAAGCTCATAGCTGCAGATATCACTAGTATACCCCAACACATAGACATGCACACACAGAGACAGGCGTGCTGGAGCTCACAGATGGGGATTGTGTGTGCCAAGTTCTGTGTATGGAAAACTGTAATGAATATGATTACGACCTAAAGACTGGTGTGGTTTACGTGATGAGCCAGACAAAGGCAGTCCGCGGAATCTGTATTTCAGGTATCCAGTGGGCTGTCTTTTCCAGAGCCACTCATGAGGAATAAATGAATACAATCATTTATTTCCCAACCACTGTTTTTTTATGTTGCTTTGGCACATTTTCTCTCTATCATCCAAGTGTTAATATAGAACACATGTTGTCTTTTAAACTGTGGTGCATGCAGAATACAGCAATTTAGATGCATGTCAACAATATGGAAGAGAATACATCTGAATCTAAGGTTTAGTACAGGCGTAAGCCAGCCTGAGAGATGCATGACAAATAGTTAAAAGCAAATATGATTTTACAGGCCAATCCCTGCACAATGCACATTTGGATACCTTTTAGGATTTAAGTTCTGGGCAGAGAACATTCAAGAACATGTGTTTTATTGAACTGTTTTAGATTCATTCAAATGTGAAGGACCCACTTATTTCTACAATCTACATCCGTGGACGATGTGTTCTCTTATTCTCCTTGTTTCTGTCAGGGTTTGGCAGGGTGGGACCCAGTAAAAAAATGAAATGGCAGTAGATTTAACACAAAGCGAGCCTTTTAATTATAAAATATTGATTAACAAAGAAAAACTAAACATGTACATATCACGAGGAACAAAATGTACAGGAGCACAGGGAAACCCGACAGGACCTTTGGACGGGACGAAGACAAACCGACAGAGAACACTAGTGAAGACTAGGAAACTAAGTTTGTAAACACAAAAACGAAAATCATGACAGTCTGCAAAGAAAGACAATTCGATTCTTTAATTTGGTCAATTATATTTTACTACTTATTTTTAAGAAGACGGCGATGGATCAATGATTGACACGAATCTGCAGTCAATAACGATATGTTTCTAATGAGGAAGGGAGTGCTGGTTTTAATCGTTCTCAAAGCGGTTTATTATTAAGATGTCCTGTGCAATAATTAGTTAGGTGTTTTGAAAACAGCAAGCATCTGGTATTAAGGAGGAACCTGTCACTCTTTACTAAGGACACTAGAACATATAAGTAATTTTCTTTGCTATGAAAATGCTGCCCATAGACAACGCTGGGAAATCCACCAACAGTTTATTGCTTGCCTCACCCGTTGGTTGGAATTCGCCACGAATCGAAGACAGGCCAATCAGAGATCAGGTCGGTGAGTTTGAAGTTCCATCGCTTCTGTCAAACGCAAAAGTCACATGGGCAAACATGGAGAGCCAATGAGAGTTGTTATTTGTTGTAAACAAGGTGAACTGGCCAATAGTTGGGCTCGGGAGGCTGTTCCTTTCCTGTCGACGTCACGGTCTATCTGAGCACCGTTCTGGTGCCAGGAACTGGTGGGAGCAAAGTATAGAGGGAAGGAGGAAACCTGGGGGAATGCAACAAAACAACAGGATACATACTGGATAGATACTCCATCGCTTAACTATGGCTACAAAAACAGAGCAGTAAGACTCAACGTTGTCTGACATGTCGCAGCAGAGATAGCTAGCTGTTCTTGGATCCGCACATCGAAGTTTTGTCTGAAGAAGTTTACAGCTAAAGCGACAGGCTAAGGCTAGCCACTGTTAACACCGGGCTGTCTTCTACCACTGACACAGCCCTACACAACAAAGACAGAAAACATGGTGTCCTGGATGATTTCGAGAAGCGTTGTGTAAGTACCAAGAAAACATATATTACTGAAAGTAACCTAAAAAACTGTTATTTAACATCATGGAAAAAAATCGAGCTGCTGATGGGATTTAACTTTGTTAGCTTGTCTCGCTAACTTGTTAACGTCCTCCTGCTAATTTGTGACCTCAGTCCTCTAATTGTCTAGATAAATGCGGACTTAGAAAACAAGAAACGACACTATGTTTTAGCAAACAGTTAACAGATACTACACTAAAACAGCAGTGTTCATTTTGTAATATAAATAGTTGTTAAATAGCTAGCCTTGATTGGCTAATGAGACTAAAGCTAATGCTAGCATACTGTTTATACGTCTTGACCGTGCTCACAGCAGGTGAGTCAGACGTAACGATGTGTAACTTTTGTTCAGTATCGGTGAGGTGGAACATTTTTCGTTTTCCAAGTACATCTGTGAAGGAGTGTCAGGTACAGCTGTCATGTTGAATATATTATTAGCCAGCCGTGCCCAAAGTAACCTGGCAACCATAGGATAGCTGACAGGAAGAAAGGCAAATGTATCGTCATTAATGGACATTGTGTGGCTCTGCACGGATTTCTTTATGTTACTTGATTGCCAGTTATCTGTTGCGAAGCAGTTTGTGAATGAACCAATGTATTCTGTGAGTCTCTGCCTGTTTACATTTAGGAATAGTAGTTGCAAAACTTGCTATAATGGAGGATAGGAATGTAGTGGAAAGGACAAAAGGTCCTCTTCCTGTTCTCTAATGCAACTTTCAAACACAACTTTCTGTGCGATAATGAACAACATTTTTTGTAAAAGGGTTGTCAAAGGTCAATATGGGGCCCAAGACCTTGGTCTAAGTATAGGGAGCAGATGAGCATTTAAGGCTTTCATGCCTGCCGAGTGCCGACCTTTCTTTTTATAACTTCCATAACTTAATATACCCTCCTACCTCTATGCTGCATTCTGCATGACAGAATGTACCAAGATGGATCCAGTCCATTATGTGTAACAATAACTATAATGTGAACCTGACATTCAGCCTTTATTTAAGATGTTTACATGCACGTCAGATGTACTGTGCTGGAATTGAAGTCCTGTGACACAGTTCTGCATTTTTATGGGACAATATGTAATTGGTCATATTCACTAAATTCATGGGATTTAGTGTCAAATCGTTTGACTGGGTTGATGTTACAACACACAGATATCTGCAATGCTAATATTGTAACAAACTGATCCTGGGAGACTAGTAAAGTCAATGAAGTTCACTTCAGTAATTGCATGAGGTGCTGAGTCTGATATAATATTTGGACATTATAATATTTGGGAATATACTTGCATAGATACTGGAGCTCAGGTCTTATATCTATGTTGGGTGTAATGTGTCCCTGTAAGGAGTGTTCCAACATGTTTATTACTGTGGAATGAATCCAGCTTGCAATCGTAAATAATGTTGGAATTATGTAATTACAAATGATTAGGGATGATATGTTGAGATCATCCTGCTGAACAAAATGTTTAAGTGTCATGAACTGCAGTCCTATTTTCTGTAATAAAAAATCAAATGGTAAAATCCCATTGCTTTTGGTGGAAGGAACCAGGGAGATCCCACCGTCTGGGGTCTGATTGCTCAAATATTTATTAAATGTTGTGTACAATAGGAATGCTGCAGTCTGCTGCACCTCCCAGCAGAGTGGAAAACAAGCTTTTCAGGATCAGTAGGCTGCAAGGTGTGCTTTCATTGCCTGTAAATATAACATCATATAGTAAACACCTAAGCCATGTCATTTCTAAGCATGAGTAACTCTTCATTCTCTTTCACATGCTTACAGTAAGGCATGGCTAAGCCAGGATATGAATGACATAATAAATACCTGCCAAATCGTATTATGGAAAAAGATAAGTGACGTATGTATTTCGCCAAGCTGACTTCACAACAAGCTCAAATGTGTAACAAAGCAAAGCTAATGCTAACCATTTTGTGTGAGTGGAAGATCCAAAATGATTAGCTTCTCAGTCTGGGAGGTATAGATCAATTTAAATTGCCACATGAAGGACAACCCTAGTCTGCTAGTTAGCATAGAAGTCAATCTAACTAAATCTCGACTGAAGCAGTTTATAATTTTACACACAATTACCTTACCTGCGGCCCCAAATTCCCCACAACTTAGCTGCCATTGATGGGCAAGCAAAAAGTCCTTAACACAATGTTGTCCAGTGAGAAGAAGGCCTAATACTACGTTTACTTAGCGCTTTTCGAGGCTTTAAGACCCCTCCAAGCTCTTTTACATATACCATTTATAATTCACCCATTCTCACACATACACCCATGGCCATGTCATCAAGAGCTTTTCAGAGTTCACTTTCCTGGGATCAAACCACCAACCTTCTGATTGGATTGGAGTATGATCACACTACCTCACAGCCACAGCCACCCATCCCTAAATACCTTGAAATAATAATACCAAATATGTTAACACATAACAGGAAATGCTTGGACAGATTCAGAAAAGATGGTAAATTGAATTATGTCAGTACATTTGGTTGATAAAGAGCCACATTTTTTTCCCCCTTCAGTTCTGCTGAATACAAATAACCAGCTCGGAGCGTTGTTGCTGCTGAGCAGTTCATGACCTGTTCATTTGTTTATTTTTTTAATTGCCCACTCCCACCAAGTTAAGCCAAGTTTAAATCACTTTCTCCTGCAAGATGTCACAGCCGGGGGACCGCACCCAAATCAAATTCAGTCAATCAGACGTTGAGTTGAACAATTTAAATCAAAGTTTAAAGGAGCGCTAAGAGTGGGACACGACACGCAATACAACTGCTGACCGCTGTCCCTCTGTAAATCTGTACTTAGTTCTAAGGTTTATGTTTCTTCCTGTTTATCAAAGACTTGAAATCTGTGCAGGTCGGCGAGACGATCTATATATGTGGGTTGTCTACTCTTTGCAAGTTTTTACCTTGTCCTCAGTTTTGTCCAGAGCTTTACTGCTTCAACTTTGACCTTCTGTACTGCCCTGTTTATCTGTGCAAAGGGGGATTCTTAGCAACATGTGCTCACCTCAGTGACCTTCCCAAAGAGCTTTAGATAATCTGTTTCCAACTGATGTCTGACGGATCTGTGTCTTGACTTGTTGGACTTTTTTGCGACTCAAGTTTAAATCAACAATAATTATTTTTCAAAAGACATTGTTTGCCTTAAAGTGGACCTATCATGCTATATTTGAATAATATAGTGTAGGACCATACCTATATAAGGCATATTTATACTTTTTTTTTTTCAAAATACCAAACAGATCATGCATTTTAGCCATGCTTCATTTTGCTCAATTTGACATTTTTTACCCCTGTTTTTGCAAGGGCAGATTCTGTGAGAACAGCACCATCTACAGGCCTGGCATATGTACTACAGCGTCTCCAGCGCTTTCGAACGGCAATGGCCGTGGCTGTCTCCTCCTGATTGGTGGAGTTGGCCCAATAGCCGTAGCGCCACTGTCCTGACGTCAGGACAGTGTTCAAATCTGGATCAGTTTTTATCAGATCCGTTGCAGCCCCTTTTTTAGAGATTTGGGTATGGAGGAAAATAGAGAGGGTTGTGTTTTCTGACACTTGGTGAGTTCCCTGGAACACCGGGGACACATATTCATGTATAAAAGACGTACAAAAGTGCATTTTGCATGATAGGTCCCCTTTAAGCAAGTAGGTTCCTACATTATTATTGCTATAACAAATATATTCTATTCTCTCTTGGTAGTTTTCTGCTTACCGAAAATAAGCAAAACAGGGCTAGTTTTTGAACTTGTATGTGATGTGTTAAGTCAGTATTTTAACGTGGGAAGATTCATGGCGCTGTGAGAACACTCTAATGTATGCCACTCATTTCCCCATGAGGAAATCCTCTGGGTATGTTCAGACCTGGACTGTAACCAGTCTCATTTGCTGTAGCAGCAGTTCTCTCAACAATCCCCCCTCTGTGTTTTTAGGGGAAAGTCATGTAATCAAATTCTTATTCCTGAAGCTCAAACCAGATGGTGGGAGCTCAAATATTGGAGATCTTTATTGCTCTTGTTCTCTCTTTCTCTCTTTCCCTTTGCTCTCTCTCTTGTCCTCCTTTCCTCCCCCTCCCTCCATCTGGTTGTTGGTGGTGTACGGTGTCAGGAAACCAGGGAAATGGAGCTGGAGCCCAGAGTAAGGGGTATCTAAAAGCAATGGGACTATTTTCTCAGCTGCATGCAGAGAGAGGGGGAGAAGGTGTTGCAATTGGAAGGAGAATAAAGAAGGGAAATGGAGAGATGGTAGGTTTGGTGTAGAGAGGGGGCCCTACTTTTCACTAGGGCTGAACGAATAATCGATTTTAAATCGAAATCGCGATTTTAAATGATGTGATTATCAAATCGCAAAGCCTGCGATTAAAAAAAAAAAAAGATTTTTTTTTTTTTTTTTTTTTTTTAAATGTTTAAAAATTTATTTTTGTTCTTCTTGTGTGTCACTCATCCACACCAATCAGAAGTGCTGTGCTCCACATGTACCAGCCATTGTTAACCAATCAGAAGTGGCCCATGATAGAAGGTGATTGACAGGTTGATCCAATCACCTGCCAAGTATTTTTGAAAGTGCCTGCCCTTTCCAAATGGCTTCCAATGGAGCTTTCCTAGATGGTTTGGTGAAACACACCATCTGAGTCAGGTTAGTAATGCTCCATCACATGTTTTACATCTATTACAGGGTGAATCTTAAACTGAAGCTTGACTTTAAAGCAACCCAACGGAAGTTTCATGTCAGTTTAGTTCTTTCACTCGTAGCTCGGGGTGCTAGAGATGGGAGCACGTTGATACGACCTTCCTAGCCGGAGATATGGCCGCATATTACAATAAACTTCTATTGGGTCGCTTAAAAACAAATATCGCAAATCGAATCGCAATCGCAATATCTGTCAGAAAAATCGCAATTAGATTATTTCCCCAAATCGTGCAGCCCTACTTTTCCCCTTAACTTGGTTTATTGCGACACTATGT